ATGATTTTCTCAATATTTAGATTTTTTTGCACCCTCAGATTCCAGATTTTCAAATAGTTGTATCTCGGCCAAATATTGTCCTATCCTAACAAACCATACATCAATGGAAAGCCTATTTATTCAGCTTTCAGATGATGCATAAATATGTCCCTTATGACTGGTTTTGTGCTCCAGGGTCACAGATGCATTCAATAGTAAAACAGTTTTATGCTATTCATGCATGTGTTATTTTGACCTCTCTCTGTCTCTGTCTCTGTCTCTCAGCCTGGTAAAGACAGTAAGCTGCTGCCGGGTCTGTTAGTGGCCCGTGTGATTTCAATTCTCTCTCTCCCTCTCTCTCTGCGTGTGTGTGAGAGAAAGCGTCAGCGAGTCGTGCGCCTTCACACTAGTTTACATTACGCCAAATACACAAACACAGGTGCACTGCGCATCCATTGAGATGAAATGATAAATAGCACAGATCGCTTGACGGAGAGTGAAACTCTGAAGCGCTCAGTCAGAGTGTTTGGCGAGTGAAAATATATCTGTGCTAAACTTATACTTAGCCTCCAACTCACACACTGGCGAGTAAAATCTGAGAATTTATTAGCCATTGGCTAATATTAGACATCATTTAGTCGCCCAGAGTGAAGATTTAGTCGCATATGCGAGTGATTTACTCGCAATGTAGAGGGTTGCAGGGTCACATATCATTACACTAGTGGTTTAGTGTGGAGTGTTTTGTGTTCACTCTGACTCACGTTATTGAGTTCTCGCTGGTTTCCGAACAGCGGGTGATATCGGCGGTATTTGCCCTCGCGGTATTTTGCCGTGATGAAGCGACGTCGCTCCTCGCTGCTGCTATTCAGGGTCAAGGCCTCGCTGGGCGGGACGTTCGCCGCCCAAAACTGATTGGTTCGTTCGTTTCCTAGAGCGAGGAACAGCTGGGACACGAGGAGAGGACTGATGAAGACAAGCGCAAGGACGTCAAGAACCAGAAAACACTCACATAAACTAAACACACCTGGATGAGATCTTCGCTCCAGACCTTCTTGTCCATTTTGAGACTGCGTACTTTAGATATGCTCGGGCCGAGACCGCGATGCTCTCCTGTCACAGACAAACACACAGACAGCTGCAGAAATAGGGCTGCACCAATTGGGGGAAAAAATCAAATGGTAATTTTCTGGTAAAAACTACAATTTAAATTGTGAAAAAAAAAAAAAGATCGGTCGGCTGTCGCGGGTCGTGATCGGTCAGCTGTCGCGGGTCGTGATCGGTCAGCTGTCGCGGGTCGTGATCGGTCAGCTGTCGCGGGTCGTGATCGGTCAGCTGTCGCGGGTCGTGATCGGTCAGCTGTCGCGGGTCGTGATCGGTCAGCTGTCGCGGGTCGTGATCGGTCAGCTGTCGCGGGTCGTGATCGGTCAGCTGTCGCGGGTCGTGATCGGTCAGCTGTCGCGGGTCGTGATCGGTCAGCTGTCGCGGGTCGTGATCGGTCAGCTGTCGCGGGTCGTGATCGGTCAGCTGTCGCGGGTCGTGATCGGTCAGCTGTCGCGGGTCGTGATCGGTCAGCTGTCGCGGGTCGTGATCGGTCAGCTGTCGCGGGTCGTGATCGGTCAGCTGTCGCGGGTCGTGATCGGTCAGCTGTCGCGGGTCGTGATCGGTCAGCTGTCGCGGGTCGTGATCGGTCAGCTGTCGCGGGTCGTGATCGGTCAGCTGTCGCGGGTCGTGATCGGTCAGCTGTCGCGGGTCGTGATCGGTCAGCTGTCGCGGGTCGTGATCGGTCAGCTGTCGCGGGTCGTGATCGGTCAGCTGTCGCGGGTCGTGATCGGTCAGCTGTCGCGGGTCGTGATCGGTCAGCTGTCGCGGGTCGTGATCGGTCAGCTGTCGCGGGTCGTGATCGGTCAGCTGTCGCGGGTCGTGATCGGTCAGCTGTCGCGGGTCGTGATCGGTCAGCTGTCGCGGGTCGTGATCGGTCAGCTGTCGCGGGTCGTGATCGGTCAGCTGTCGCGGGTCGTGATCGGTCAGCTGTCGCGGGTCGTGATCGGTCAGCTGTCGCGGGTCGTGATCGGTCAGCTGTCGCGGGTCGTGATCGGTCAGCTGTCGCGGGTCGTGATCGGTCAGCTGTCGCGGGTCGTGATCGGTCAGCTGTCGCGGGTCGTGATCGGTCAGCTGTCGCGGGTCGTGATCAGTCGGCTGTCGCGGGTCGTGATCGGTCGGCTGTCGCGGGTCGTGATGGGTCAGCTGTCGTTACCTGCACATCGCTTGCAGAAAACCACAGTCAGGTTGATGGCGGCCCACTCAGGTTTGGCAGCGCTGCAGTCGGCACACATCTGATTGGACGGCTCCGCCCAGATCCGCTCAGCCACTTCGTAATTGGACAAGGCCTCTGCGATAGAGTTGCGCATGGCCTCCACCCACTGATCCTTCAGCTGATCCGTATCCGCTACGAAACTACAGACACAGACCCGTCATTATGCTGCTCTCCAACATCTACACAAACCTTCTTAACACTGCAGTATTAACAATGCCAAAAATCATTAGTGAAAGTACCTCTGGGTTACGAGTCCGACTCTCTAACCATTAGGCTACGACTTCCACACGACTTATTAGGATATTAAGTAAAGATCATGTTCCATGAAGATATTTAGTAAATTTCCTACCGTAAATATATCAAAACTTAATGTTTGATTAGTAATATGCATTGCTAAGAACTTCATCTGAACAACTTTAAAGATGATTTTCTCAATATTTATATTTTTTTGCACCCTCAGATTCCAGATTTTCAAATAGTTGTATCTCGGCCAAATATTGTCCGATCCTAACAAACCATACATCAATGGAAAGCTATTTATTCAGCTTTCAGATTATATATTTTAAAAAATGTACCCTTATGACTGGTTTTGTGGTCCAGGGTCACATATGCATAATAAATATACACAGTACACACACATATATTATGTAAACTAAAACTTTTATTTCGGATGCGATTAATTGTGATTATTCGTTTAACAGCCCTATTTAATTGCAATTAGATTTTAGTAATTTTGTTATGTGCTTTTGTAATTTTTGCTAGTTTTTCTTCTATTTTTATTTTTAATTCTTTATTTTTACTTCAGTTTTACTTTTTGTAATATTTAATATTTAAGTAACTTTCATTTATTTTAAACTAGTTTTAATTTTAGTTTTTTTTTTCATCTAATACTTATATTTTAGTTTTTTATTAGTTTTTTAGTAGTTTAATTCTGACCGTATGTGAATAGGTTTCACTGGGTTTTATACTGAAACCCAGCAAGTTAAACATGTGCATTTCACACACAGATGACCTTCAGATTCATTGAGCAGCTCAAAGGAGGAAAATATACAAAACCACAACAGATGTGAGAGAAGGAGCCAGACAACACACACACACACTCACTCACTCACACACACTCACTCACACACACACTCACACTCACACACACACACACACACACACACTCACTCACTCACTCACACA